GTAATGACAGGAGAGTCAGCCTGCGGTGTGAGTGGACTGGTGACCACGGCAGGTAGTGACAGGTGAGTCAGCCTGCAGTGCGAGTGGACCGGTGACCACGGGAAGTAATGACAGGGCAAGTCAGCCTACAGTGTGAGTGGACTGGTGGCCACGGGAATTGGTGACAGAGGGAGTCAGCTGTGAGTGTGAGTGGACTGGTGGCCACGGGAGGTGATGACAGGGGAGTCAGCCTGCAGTGTGAGTGGACTGGTGACCACGAGAGGTGATGACAGGTGAGTCAGCCTGCAGTGTGAGTGGACTGGTGGCCACGAGAGGTGATGACAGGGGAGTCAGCCTGCAGTGTGAGTGGACTGGTGACCACGGGAGGTGATGACAGGGGAGTCAGGCTGCAGTGTGAGTGGACTGGTGACCACGAGAGGTGATGACAGGGGAGTCAGCCTGCAGTGTGAGTGGACTGGTGGCCACGGGAGGTAATGACAGGGGAGTCAGCCTGCAGTGTGAGTGGACTGGTGACCACGGGAGGTGATGACAGGTGAGTCAGCCTGCAGTGTGAGTGGACTGGTGGCCACGGGAGGTGATGACAGGGGAGTCAGCCTGCAGTGTGAGTGGACTGGTGACCATGGGAGGTAGTGACAGGTGAGTCAGCCTTCAGTGTGAGTGGACTGGTGGCCACGGGAGGTGATGACAGGTGAGTCAGCCTGCAGTGTGAGTGGACCGGTGACCACGGGAGGTAGTGACAGAGGAGTCAGCCTACAGTGTGAGTGGACTGGTGACCACGGGAGGTAATGACAGGGGGAGTCAGCCTACAGTGTGAGTGGACTGGTGGCCACGGGAATTAGTGACAGGGGGAGTCAGCTGTGAGTGTGAGTGGACTGGTGGCCACGGGAGGTGATGACAGGGGAGTCAGCCTGCAGTGTGAGAGGACTGGTGGCCTCAGCCTGCAGTGTGAGTGGACTGGTGGCCACGGGAGGTAATGACAGGTGAGTCAGCCTGCAGTGTGAGTGGACTGGTGACCATGGGAGGTGATGACAGGGGGAGTCAGCCTGCAGTGTGAGTGGACTGGTGACCACGGGAGGTGATGACAGGGGGAGTCAGCCTGCAGTGTGAGTGGACTGGTGACCACGGGAGGTGATGACAGGGGGAGTCAGCCTGCAGTGTGAGTGGACTGGTGACCACGGGAGGTGATGACAGGGGGAGTCAGCCTGCAGTGTGAGTGGACTGGTGGCCACGGGGGGTGATGACAGGGGGAGTCAGCCTGCAGTGTGAGTGGACTGGTGACCACGGGAGGTGATGACAGGGGGAGTCAGCCTGCAGTGTGAGTGGACTGGTGACCACGGGAGGTGATGACAGGGGGAGTCAGCCTGCAGTGTGAGTGGACTGGTGACCACGGGAGGTGATGACAGGGGGAGTCAGCCTACAGTGTGAGTGGACTGGTGGCCATGGGAATTAGTGACAGGGGGAGTCAGCTGTGAGTGTGAGTGAACTGGTGGCCACGGGAGGTGATGACAGGGGAGTCAGCCTGCAGTGTGAGTGGACCGGTGGCCACGGGAGGTGATGACAGGGGAGTCAGTCTACAGTGTGAGTGGACTGGTGGCCACGGGAGGTGATGACAGGTGAGTCAGCCTGCAGTGTGAGTGGACTGGTGGCCACGGGAGGTGATGACAGGTGAGTCAGCCTGCAGTGTGAGTGGACTGGTGGCCACGGGAGGTAGTGACAGAGGAGTCAGCCTACAGTGTGAGTGGACTGGTGACCACGGGAGGTAATGACAGGGGAGTCAGCCTGCAGTGTGAGTGGACTGGTGGCCACGGGAGGTAGTGACAGAGGAGTCAGCCTACAGTGTGAGTGGACTGGTGACCACGGGAGGTAATGACAGGGGGAGTCAGCCTGCAGTGTGAGTGGACTGGTGGCCTCAGCCTGCAGTGTGAGTGGACTGGTGACCCACGGGAGGTGATGACAGGGGAGTCAGCCTGCAGTGTGAGTGGACTGGTGGCCTCAGCCTGCGGTGTGAGTGGACTGGTGACCACGGGAGGTGATGACAGGGGGAGTCAGCCTGCAGTGTGAGTGGACTGGTGGCCACGGGAGGTGATGACAGGGGGAGTCAGCCTGCAGTGTGAGTGGACTGGTGGCCTCAGCCTGCAGTGTGAGTGGACCGGTGGCCACGGGAGGTGATGACAGGGGGAGTCAGCCTGCAGTGTGAGTGGACTGGTGGCCTCAGTCTGCAGTGTGAGTGGACTGGTGGCCACGGGAGGTGATGACAGGTGAGTCAGCCTGCAGTGTGAGTGGACTGGTGGCCACGGGAGGTGATGACAGGGGGAGTCAGCCTGCAGTGTGAGTGGACCGGTGACCACGGGAGGTGATGACAGGGGGAGTCAGCCTGCTGTGTGAGTGGACTGGTGGCCACGGGAGGTGATGACAGGGGGAGTCAGCCTGCAGTGTGAGTGGACTGGTGGCCACGGGAGGTGATGACAGGGGGAGTCAGCCTGCAGTGTGAGTGGACTGGTGGCCACGGGAGGTGATGACAGGGGGAGTCAGCCTGCTGTGTGAGTGGACTGGTGGCCACGGGCGGTGATGACAGGGGGAGTCAGCCTGCAGTGTGAGTGGACCGGTGGCCTCAGCCTGCAGTGTGAGTGGACTGGTGGCCACCACAATATTTGCTGTGCTCGCGAGACGGTGAATGGCGTGGGGGGCCGCCCTGGGGGGGAGGGGTGGGGAGGGGGGGGTGGGTGGGAGGGGGCCCTCCATCCAGCAGCGGATTGGCCACGACGCGTCAGGGGGTGTGGCCTTCTGTGGGCAGACTGACTGAGCCACCGAGCCACTGACTGACTGAGCCAGCGAGAGACCGACCAAGCCACTGACCGACCGAGCCACCAAGCCACTGACTGACCGAGCCACCGAGCCACTGACCGACTAAGCCACCGAGCCACTGACCGACTAAGCCACCGAGCCACTGACCGACTAAGCCACCGAGCCACTGACCGACTAAGCCACCGAGCCACTGACCGACTAAGCCACCGAGCCACTGACCGACTAAGCCACCGAGCCACTGACTGACCGAGCCACCGAGCCACTGACCGACTAAGCCACCGAGCCACTGACCGACTAAGCCACCGAGCCACTGACCGACTAAGCCACCGAGCCACTGACTGACCGAGCCACCGAGCCACTGACTGACCGAGCCACCGAGCCACTGACCGACTAAGCCACCGAGCCACTGACCGACCGAGCCACCGAGCCACTGACCGACTGAGCCACCGAGAGACCGACTGAGCCAGCAAGCCACTGGCTGACCGAGCCACTGAGCCACCGAGAGACTGACCGCCTGAGCCAGCGAGGGACCGACTGAGCCACCGAGAGACGGACCGCCTGAGTCAGCGAGCCACTGACCGACTGAGCCACCGAGAGACCGACTGAGCCACTGACTGACTGAGCCACCGAGCCACCGAGCCACTGAGTGACCAACCAACCCACCAAGCGACCCACCGAGCCACTGAGCCACCGACCGAGCCACCGAACTACCGAGCCACCAACCAAGAGACCAAACGAACCACCAAGCGACCGAGCCACCGATCCAACGAGTGACCGAGCGATCGAGCGAGCGAGTCGACCACCGAGCGACTGAGCGAGCGAGTGACCGAGCGAGTCGCCCACCGAGCCTCTGAGCCACCGAGCGAGCGAGCGAGCGAGCGAGCGAGCAAACCACCGAGCGAGCCAGCGAGCCAGCGAGCCACTGACCGACTGAGCCACCGAGAGACCGACCGAGCCACCGATCCAACGAGCGAGCGACCGAGCGAGTCGCCCACCGAGCGAGCGACCGAGCGAGTCGCCCACCGAGCGAGCGAGCGAGCCACTGAGCCACCGAGCGACTGAGCGAGCCACCGATCCAACGAGCGACCGAGCGAGTCGCCCACCGAGCGAGCGACCGAGCGAGTCACTGAGCGAGCCACCGAGCGAGTGAGCGAGTCACTGAGTTAGCCACCGAGCCACCGAGCGAGTCGCTGAGCCACCGAGCGAGCGAGCGAGCCACTGAGCCACCGAGCGACTGAGCGAGCCACCGATCCAACGAGCGACCGAGCGAGTCGCCCACCGAGCGAGCGACCGAGCGAGTCACTGAGCGAGCCACCGAGCGAGTGAGCGAGTCACTGAGTTAGCCACCGAGCCACCGAGCGAGTCGCTGAGCCACCGAGCGAGCGAGCGAGTCACTGAGCGAGCCACCGAGCGACCGAGCGAGTCACTGAGCGAGCCACCGAGCGAGCGAGTCACTGAGCGAGTCAATGAGCGAGCCACCGAGCGAGTCGCTGAGCCACCGAGCGAGCGAGCGAGTCACTGAGCGAGCCACCGAGCGAGTCGCTGAGCCACCGAGCCACCGAGCGAGCGAGTGAGTCACTGAGCGAGCCACCGAGCGAGTCGCTGAGCCACCGAGCGAGCGAGCGAGTGAGTCACTGAGTGAGCCACCGAGCGAGTCGCTGAGCCACCGAGCGAGCGAGCGAGTCACTGAGCGAGCCACCGAGCGAGTCGCTGAGCCACCGAGCCACCGAGCGAGCGAGCGAGTCACTGAGCGAGCCACTGAGCGAGTCGCTGAGCCACCGAGCGAGCGAGCGAGTCACTGAGCGAGCCACCGAGCGAGCGAGCGAGTCACTGAGCGAGCCACCGAGCGAGTCGCTGAGCCACCGAGCGAGCGAGCGAGTCACTGAGCGAGCCACCGAGCGAGCGAGTCACTGAGCGAGTCACCGAGCGAGCGACCGAGCGAGTCGCTGAGCCACTGAGCGAGCGAGCGAGTCACTGAGCGAGCCACCGAGCGAGCGAGCGAGTCACTGAGCGAGCCACCAAGCGAGTCGCTGAGCCACCGAGCCACCGAGCGAGTCACTGAGCGAGCCACCGAGCGAGCGAGCGAGTCACTGAGCGAGCCACCGAGCGAGTCACTGAGCGAGTCGCTGAGCCACCGAGCCACCGAGCGAGCGAGCGAGTCACTGAGTGAGCCACCGAGCGAGCGAGCGAGCCACCTTGATGCGGAAGGGCTTCTTGCCGGCGCGTCCGACACCGCCGTCGAAGGAGAAGTCATGTTGCCGCACGACCCCGCGGCTGTGGCGGTCGCCCGTGTAAGTGACGACATAGAAGCCTGGGGCCCAGGCCTCAAACTCACGCTCCCAGTTGATGATGGTGGAGAGGGGGGCGCTGACGAGGAAGGGCCCCTTGGAGTGGCCCTGGGGGGGCACGGTCACAGCAACCACAACAAACAACAACCACCATCACAACAACCATCACAACCACAACAACCACCATCACAACCACCACAACAACAACCACCATCGCAACCATCACAACAACAATCACCATCACAACCATCACAACAACAACCACCATCACAACAACAACCATCACCACAGCCACCACTACGACAACCACCATCACAACAACAACCACCATCACAACCACCACAAGAACAACCACCATCACAACCATCACAACAACAATCACCATCACAACCATCACAACAACCACCATCACAACCATCACAACAACAACAACCACCATCACAACCATCACAACAACAACAACCACCATCACAACCATCACAACAACAATCACCATCACAACCATCACAACAACAACCACCATCACAACCATCACAACAACCACCATCACAACCATCACAACAACAACAACAACAACCACCATCACAACCATCACAACAACCACCACAACAACCACTATCACAACCACCACAACAACAACAACAACAACCATCACAACAACAATAACCATCACAACCATCACAACAACAACAACCATCACAACAACCACCATCACCACAACCACCACAACAACAACCACCATCACCACCACAACCACTATCACAACCACCACAACAACCTTCACAACAACCACCATCACAACCACAACAACAACTATCACAACAACCACCATCACAACGACCACAACAACAACAACCACCATCACAACAACCACAACAACCACCATCACAACAACAACCACAACAACCACCATCACAACCACCATCACCACCACAACAACAACAACCACTATCACAACAACAACCACCATCACCACCATCACAACAACAACCACTATCACAACCACCACAACAACCACCATCACCACCACCATCACAACCACCACAACAACCATCACAACAACCACAACAACAACCATCACAACCACCACAACAACCACCATCACCACCACCATCACAACCACCACAACAACCATCACAACAACCACCACAACAACAACCACAACAACCACCATCACAACCACCATCACAACAACAACAACAAACACTATCACAACCACCACAACCACCATCACCACAACCACAACAACAACCACCATCACCACCACAACAACAACCACAACAACCACCATCACAACCACCACAACAACAACCACAACAACAACCATCACCACCACAACAACAACCACAACAACAACCATCACCACCACAACAACAACCACAACAACCACCATCACAACCACCACATCAACAACCACAACAACAACCATCACCACCACAACAACAACCACAACAACCACCATCACAACCACCACAACAACCATCACAACAACCATCACAACAACCACCATTACCACAACCACCACAACAACCACAACAACAACCACCATCAACACAACCACCACAACAACAACCACAACAACAACCACCACCACAACCACCACAACAACCACCATCACAACCACCACAACAACCATCACAACAACCACCACAACAACAACCACCATCACCACAACCACCATCACAACCATCACAACAACCACCATCACCACAACCACAACAACAACAAACATCACAACAACAATCACAACAACCATCACAACAACAACCACAACAACCATGGTGTCAGCCACAACCACCACCATCACCACCCACTCACCCACTCACCTACCCATCCACTCACCCACCCACCCACCTACCCACCCACCCACTCACCTACCCACTCACCTATCCACCCACTCACCTACCCACCCACTCACCTACCCACGCACTCACCTACCCACCCACTCACCTACTCACCTACCCACTCACCCAACCACTCACCTACCCACACACTCACCCACCCACTCACCTACCCACCAACTCCATTACCCACCCACTCACGTACCCACCCAGCCACCCACTCAACCAACCCATCCACTCACCCACCCACTCACCTACCCACCCACTCACCCACCCACTCACGTACCCAACCAGCCACCCACTCACCTACCCACCCACTCACCCACTCACCTACCCACCCACTCACCTACGCACCCACTCACCCACCCACTCACGTACCCACCCAGCCACCCACTCACCTACCCACCCACTCACCTACCTACCCACCCACTCACCTACCCACCAACTCACCTACCCACACACCCACTCACCTACCCACTCACCTACCCACTCACCCACCCACTCACTCACCTACCCACTCACCCACCTACCCACCCACTCACGTACCCACCCAGCCACCCAACTACCCACCCACTCACCTACCCATCCACTCACCCACTCACCTACCAACCCATTCACCTACCCACCCAATCACCTACCCACTCACCCACCCACTCACCCACCCACTAACCCACCCACTCACCTACCCACTCATCCAACCACTCACCCACTCACCCACCTACCCACACAACCACCCACCTACCCACCCACTCACCTACCCACTCACCCACTCACCCACCCACCCAACTACCCAACCACTCACGTACCCACCCAGACACCCACCTACCCACCCACTCACCTACCCACCCACCCAATCACCCACCCACTCACCCACCCACTCACCTACGCACCCACCCACCTACCCACCTAACCACCCACTCACCTACCCACCCACCTACCCACCCACCTACCCACCCACTCACCTACCCACCCACCCACTCACGTACCAACCCACTCACGTACCCACCCAGCCACCCACCTACCCACTCACCCACCCACTCACCCACCCAACCACCTACCCACCCACCCACTCACCAACCTACCCATCCACTCACTCACCCACTCACCCACCCACTCACCTACCCACCCACCCACTCACCTACCCATCCACTCACTCACCCACTCACCTACCCAACCACTCACGTATCCACCTACCCACCCACCCACCTACCCACCCACCCACGCAGCCACCCACCTACCCACCCACTCACCCACCCACTCACCCACTCACCCACCCACCCAACTACCCAACCACTCACGTACCCACCCAGACACCCACCTACCCACCCACTCACCTACCCACCCACCCACCCACTCACCCACCTACCCACCCACTCACCCACCCACCCACTCACCAACCTACCCACCCACCCACCCACTCACCCACCCACCCACTCACCCACCCACCCACTCACCTACCCACCCACCCACTGACCTACCCACCCACTCACTCACCCACCCACCTACCCATCCACCCACTCACCTACCCACCCACCCACCCACTCACCTACCCACCCACTCACCTACCCACCCACCCACCTACTCACCTACCCACCCACCCACCCACTCACCAACCTACCCACCCACTCACCAACCTACCCACCCACTCACCCACTCACCCACCCACCCACTCACCCACCCACCAACCCACCCACTCACCCACCCACCCACCCATCCACCCACCCACCCAGCCACCCACCTCCTTGTAGAGTGAGTACAGGAACACGATAGTCTGCACCGTTTTGCCCAATCCCATCTCGTCGGCCAGGATGGTGTCCGTGCCCTGCGCCCAGGAGAATCTCAGCCAGTTGAGGCCCTCCAGCTGGTAGGGGTGTAGCAATCCGCCGGTAGACGTCACCCAGAGCGGTTGCTCGTCGTACTTTACCGTGGGCTACGCGGGGAGAGGCGGTGGGTGACAGGGGGTGGGTGGGTGGGTACTGTGGGTGGGTGGGTACTGTGGGTGCTGTGGGTGGGTACTGTAGACGTCACCTAGAGGGGCTGCTCGTCGTACTTTACCGTGGGCTACGCGGGGAGAGTCGGTGGGTGACAGGGGGTGGGTGGGTGGGTACTGTGGGTGGGTGGGTGCTGTGGGTGGGTGGGTACTGTGGGTGGGTGGGTACTGTGGGTGGGTGGGTGCTGTGGGTGGGTGGGTACTGTGGGTGGGTACTGTGGGTAGGTACTGTGGGTGGGTGGGTGCTGTGGGTGGGTGGGTACTGTGGGTGGGTACTGTGGGTGGGTACTGTGGGTGGGTACTGTGGGTGGATACTGTGGGTGGGTGGGTACTGTGGGTGGGTACTGTGGGTGGGTACTGTGGGTGGGTACTGTGGGTGGATACTGTGGGTGGGTGGGTGCTGTGGGTGGGTACTGTGGGTGGGTGCTGTGGGTGGGTACTGTGGATGGGTGGGTACTGTAGGTGGGTACTGTGGGTGGGTGGGTACTGTGGGTGGGTGGGTACTGTGGGTGGGTGCTGTGGGTGGGTACTGTGGGTGGGTGGGTACTGTGGGTGGGTACTGTGGGTGGGTACTGTGGATGGGTGGGTACTGTGGGTGGGTACTGTGGGTGGGTGGGTACTGTGGGTGGGTGGGTACTGTGGGTGGGTACTGTGGGTGGGTGCTGTGGGTGGGTGCTGTGGGTGGGTACTGTGGGTGGGTGGGTACTGTGGGTGGGTGCTGTGGGTGGGTACTGTGGATGGGTGGGTACTGTGGGTGGGTACTGTGGGTGGGTACTGTGGGTGGGTGCTGTGGGTGGGTGCTGTGGGTGGGTACTGTGGGTGGGTGGGTGCTGTGGGTGGGTACTGTGGGTGGGTGGGTACTGTGGGTGGGTACTGTGGGTGGGTGGGTACTGTGGGTGGATACGGTGGGTGGGGTGGGTAAGGAGGGTGGGCGGGCCCATGTAGTGTATAGTGTAGTGTATAGTGTAGTGTAGTGTATAGTGTAGTAGTGTAGTGTATAATGTAGCATAGTGTATAATGTAGTGTATAGTAGTGTAGTGTATAGTGTAGTGTATAGTAGTGTAGTGTAGTGTATAATGTAGTGTAGTGTATAGTAGTGTAGTGCAGTAGTGTAGCATATAGAGTAGTGTAGTGGTGTAGTTGTGTATAATGTAGTGACTTGTATAGTGTAGTAGTGTAGTGTATAATGTAGTGTAGTGTATACTGTAGTGTAGTGTATAATGTAGTGTAGTGGTATATAATATAGTGTATAATGTAGTGTAAGAGTGTAGTGGTGTAGTAGTGTAGTGTATAATGTAGTGGTGTATAATGTAGTGTAGTGTAAAGTGTAGTGGTGTAGTAGTGTTGTGTATAGTGTAGTGTAGTGGTGTAGTAGTGTAGTGTATAGTGTAGTGTAGTGGTGTATAATGTAGTGTAGTGTATAATGTAGTGTATAGTAGTGTCGTGTATAGTGTAGTGTAGTGGTGTATAGTGTAGTGTAGTGTATAGTGTAGTGTAGTGGTGTATAATGTAGTGTAGTGTATAGCAGTGTATTGTATAGTGTAGTGTATAGTGTAGTGTAGAGTATATAGTGTAGTGTAGTATATAGTGTGTAGTAGTGTAATGTATAGTGTAGTGTAGTGGTGTATAGTGTAGTGTAGTGGTGTATAGTGGAGTGTAGTGTATAGTAATGTAGTGTATAGTGTAGTGTAGTATATAGTGTATAGTAGTGTAGTGTATAGTGTAGTGGTGTATAGTGTAGTGTATAGTGTAGTGTAGTGGTCTATAATGTTGTGTAGTGTATAATGTAGTGGTCTAGTAGTGTGGTGTATAATGTAGTGTAGTGGTGTAAAGTGTAGTGTATAGTGTAGTGTAGTGGTGTATAGTGTAGTGTATAGTGTAGTGTACAGTGTAGTGTATAGTAGTGTAGTGTATAGTGTAGTGGTGTATAGTGTAGTGTAGTGTATATTGTAGTGGTCTATAATGTAGCGTAGTGTATAATGTAGTGGTGTAGTAGTGTAGTGTAATGTAGTGTAGTGGTGTATAATGTAGTGTAGTGTATAATGTAGTGTATAGTAGTGCAGTGTATAATGTAGTGGTGTAGTAGTGTAGTGTATAGTGTAGTGTAGTGGTGTATAATGTAGTGTAGTATATCGTAGTGTAGTGTATAGTGTAGTGTATAGTGTATTGTATAGTGTAGTGTATAGTGTAGTGTATAGTATATAGTGTAGTGTATAATATAGTGTATAGTAGTGTAGTGTATAATGTAGTGTATAGTAGTGTAGTGTATAATGTAGTGTAGTGTAGTATATAGTATATAGTAGTGCAGTGTATAATGTAGTGTAGTGTATAATGTAGTGGTGTAGTAGTGTAGTGTATAGTGTAGTGTAGTGTATAATGTAGTGTATAATGTAGTGTATAGTGTAGTGTATAGTGTAGTGGTGTAGTAGTGTAGTAGTGTAGTGTATAATGTAGTGTAGTGTATAGTAGGGTAGTGTATAATGTAGTCTAGTGGTGTATAGTGTAGTGTATAGTGTAGTGTAGTGTATAATGTAGTGTAGTGTATAGTGTAGTGTATAGTGTAGTGTATAGTAGTGTAGTGTAGTGTATATAGTGTAGTGTATAATGTAGTATATAGTGTATAGTAGTGTATTGTATAGTATATAGTATAGTGTAGTATAGTGTATAGTAGTGTAGTGTATAGTGTAGTGTATAGTGTAGTGTATAATGTAGTGTATAGTAGTGTAGTTTATAGTAGATTGTAGTGTATAGTGTAGTGTATAGTGTATAATGTAGTGTAGTGTACAGTATATAGTGTAGTGTATAATGTAGTGTAGTGTATAGTAGTGTATAATGTAGTGTATAGTAGTGTAGTGTATAATGTAGTGTAGTAGTGTAGTGCATAATGTAGTGTAGTGGTGTATAATGTAGTGTAGTGTATAATGTAGTGTATAGTGTAGTGTATAGTGTAGTGTATAGTATATAGTGCAGTGTATAATGTATAGTGTATTGTATAATGTAGTGTAGTGTATAGTAGTGTATAGTGTAGTGTATAGTTAATAGTGTAGTGTATAGTGTAGTATATAGTGGTGTAGTATATAGTGCATAGTGGTGTAGTGGTATAATGTAGTGTAGTGTATAGTGTAGTGTATAACGTAGTGTATAATGTAGTGGTGTAGTAGTATAGTGTAGTAGTGTATAATGTAGTGTAGTTGTGTATTTTGTAGTGTAGTGTATAGTGTGTATGTATAATGTAGTGTAGTGTATAGTGTAATGTATAGTGTAGTGTAGTATATAGTGTATAATTTAGTATAATGTAGTGTAGTGTATAATGTAGTGTAGTGGTGTAGTAGTGTAGTGTATAATGTAGTGTAGTGTATAATGTAGTGTAGTGTATAGTGTAGTGTATAGTGTATTGTAGTGTATAGTGTGGTGTAGTATATAGTGTATAATTTAGTATAATGTAGTGTAGTGTATAATGTAGTGTAGTGTATAGTGTATAGTAGTGTAGTGTATAGTGTAGTATATAGTGTACTGTAGTGTAGTATATAGTGTATAGTAGTGTAGTGTGTAATGTAGTGTAGTGTATAATGTAGTGTAGTGGTGTATTTTGTAGTGTAGTGTATAGTGTATATGTATAATGTAGTGTAGTGTATAGTGTAATGTATAGTGTAGTGTAGTATATAGTGTATAATTTAGTATAATGTAGTGTAGTGTATAATGTAGTGTAGTGGTGTATTTTGTAGTGTAGTGTTAA